TCCGAGTGCTGTAGGGTACGTGCCGGGGTCTCCTCAGCCATGCTGCGCCCTGCCCCGGTGGCTCTGAGCGAAGGTGGCTGCTCTGCAAGGCTGGGGTGGGACATGCCGGAGCTGGTGTTACACCTCTGCTCCCCACAGACAGGGGTGAGGAGCGGCCCCTGTGCAAGGAGAGGTGCCACGTGTCCTGCAGCACTGCACCGCTGCTCCCTGGGGACTGTCCCTGCTGCAGGGCAGGGGTCTCAGCCCCGCTCTGTTGCTCTGTTTCAGATCAAGGTGCAGCAGGTAGCACTGGAGATGCAGCTGACCCCCTTCCTCATCCTGCTCCGCAAGACGCTTGAGCAGCTGCAGGAGAAAGACACAGGCAACATCTTCAGCGAGCCGGTCCCTCTGTCTGAGGTAACAGAAATCTACGAAGTAAGAACCCCCTCCCCCAGATTTCTACTTCACTCCAACTCGTCCCTTGCTCGTGCCGAGGGCTGCCCAGGTGCTGCATCTCCAGTCTAAACCTCCCCTGCTGCAGCTTGAAGCCGTTTCCTCTCGTCCTGTCCCTTGTTCCTTGGGAGCAGAGACCAGCCCCCTCCTGGCTCCATCCTCCTGTCAGGCAGTTGCAGAGAGCGATCAGGTCCCCCCTGAGCCTTCTCTTCTCCACGCTAAACCCCCCAGGTCCGTCAGCTGTTCCTCATCACACTTGTGCTCCAGGCCCTGCTCCAGCTCCGGTGCCCTTCTCTGGCCCCGCTCCAGCACCTCAATGTCTCTCTTGCAGTGAGGTGGCTGCACAGCAAAACCCCTCCTGGTACCTGAGCTGGTGCTGGCTGGAGCACAGCACTCACCTTTTCCTCTGCACATGTTGCTGGTGCCTCCCTGGTGTCTGTGAGCAGCTGGGCATTCCCTTTGGGAGAGGAGGAATGCTGGCCCTTCACAGGCAGCACACTCTTACCTGTCCTCTCATGAAGGCCTCTGCTAGGTGGTGCACTGAGCATAGCACAGGAAAGGGTTTGACCCTCTGACTGTCACTGCAGGGGGAAAAGGAAATGATTCCTGAGACTGTCATGGAATCCCTGCCTGGGGAGGTGGGAAAGGCCATGCTGGCTCTGCAGGGCTGTGGCAGCAGGTCAGCACCGAGGTGTCCCAGCGGAGCTGGGGGCAATGCTGCGCAGTCAGACCCCTGCAGCCAGTGCTGCTGGTTCTGTTTCACCTGTGTGCGCTCACCCTCACCCCTGGGGCTGCGCTTGCAGCTTCCTCCCTCGGGGAATGCCATGGAGCATACTGGATCCCAGCTGTCTGCAGGCAGGAGGAGAGGATGGGATGCTGGCAAGTGCACGGGAGCTGTAAAAACCGCCTCAGAGCGCGTATCTGCTCGAGCAGGTTGAGCACAGCACATGGGCTCCTGCTCTGGAGGCGTTGCTGTTCCTCAAGCTGCGCAAGCAGACGGCATTCCCCGATGTGCATTTGGGCACAACACAGGGATACCTCATCCCTCTAACCACCGTTTTCTTGGAGCAGGTAATGCTGAGGGCTGGCTCCCGGGCTCTTAGCTCTGCCTCTTTCCTCATGCAGGTCCCGGACTACCTGGATCACATCAAGAAGCCGATGGATTTTCAGACAATGAAACAAAACCTGGAAGCCTATCGCTACCTGAACTTCGACGACTTCGAGGAGGATTTCAACCTGATTATCAACAACTGTTTGAAATACAATGCCAAAGACACCATCTTCTACCGGGCAGCCATCCGCCTGCGGGAGCAGGGAGGTGCCGTGCTGCGGCAGGGCGCCCGGGCGCGCCGGCAGGCCGAGAAGATGGGCATTGACTTCGAGACAGGCATGCACTTCCCTCACTGCGTGACAGTGGAAGAGGCTCAGGTCCAGGACATCGAGGATGGTGGGTACTCATCCCCTGTCCTGGGGTATGAGGGCTGCTTGGAGGTACAGCAGGGGATGTGGCCTCCCTGTCACTCGCTGTCCCCGGCACTGGCTGTGAGCTGCTGAGGCTCCTGCTGTGCTGCCTGGCTGGAAGGACCCCCCTGTTGTCAGAGCTGAGTGCTTCCCGTTTCCTCCCCAGTTGTAGTTCTTCCCCCCTCCATGGCTGTAGTTCTGTTTGTCTCAACAGGAAGAATGATCCTTTTTGGGTCCTCCTTCCCCTGCTCCAGGGACAGGTTCAGACAGGGAACTTCCCTGCTCTGTAATGCTTCAGGAACCCTTTGTGTTTTGTTTTTGCTGTTACAATACCCTCTTTTTCCTGCTGTGTCCTTGCCCTAGATGGTGGGAACCCTGGCATTCTGCAGGCTGGTTTCCCCACCTCACTTCCCATGGGGCTCCTTCTCCAGGTCTTTTAGGGTAACTTCCCATGTTCACAGGTGTTTGGTAGCACGTCAGCTACTTCCTTCTGTGGCAACCTTCATCACCCCGTGCCCTTTCAGGCAGAGGAGCTCCAGAGAGTTCAGAGTCTTCTTTCATCCATCTGCTCCTCTTTGTTCCCCCAGAAGATGTGCGGCTGCTGCTCTCGGAGAACCAGAAGCACCTGCCTTTGGAGGAGCAGCTGAAGATCCTGCTGGAGCGGCTGGATGAGGTCAATGCTGGCAAGCAGAGCATCGGCCGGTCCCGCCGCGCCAAGATGATCAAGAAGGAGATCACGGTCCTGCGGAGGAAGCTCGCCCACCCGCGGGACCTGGGCCGGGACGGGCTGGAGCGACACAGCTCCTCGGCCAGGGGGGGCCTGCAGTCACACAACCCCTGCGAGAAGGACCTGCAGACAGACAGTGCTGCCGAGGAGAGCAGCAGCCAGGAGACGGGCAAAGGTACCTCCAGAACACGGCTGTGGGGAGCAGGGGAGAACCAACTGCCTCTGCACAGGCTGGGCTGGGGCCAGCCGTAGCCTTGGGGTGTGTTTGCCCCTGGGGAGGGTTGGGAGCTGTGGTCAGTGTTCACCCCCTGGGCTCACCTCCCATGCAGCTGGGTGACTGGGTGCAATGCCTAGGACAGACAGTCCCAGCTGTGGGACATGGAGCATGGGATGGATCGTTCCCTCCTGCCAGCTCTGCCACACAGCCCGCTTTCTCTACGGAGCAGGCTGCTTTCAGTGTCCCTGCCTGCCTGGATGGGGCACAGGATGGGGTTGCAGCAACACCAGTTGATGAGCTCCAAATGCCCTCCAGTGCGCTCCCTGCCTCCCAGGTGGAGATGCTGAGCTGGGCTCATGGGGAGCACAGCAAAAGCTCCAGGCAGAGCTGCCCGCTGGCACTGGGGGTTTGCCACCTCTGCATCCCATTTCCACTCCCGTAAGCACTGGGAAAAGCAGGCTCTTTGGCAAGCAGGGAGTGTTTAGGGCCTTTGTCTTTCAAAGGTGCAGTAATGCTTCTCAACTCTTTCCTTCCTGATCTTGACTTCTGCTTTTGTGAAGTTGCTGCCTGGGAGTCATTCCTGGCTGAGGGACTGCTCTTTGATGTCCCCATTTAGCTTTTGCTGCAGGCAGACTGCATAGTTTGACCCTGAGGGCACAGGAGTGGCAAAGCTCCGGATGGAGGATCTTCTGAGATAACATTCCCAAGAAATGAAGCTGTTCCTTGATGCTGCTGTCCTGCTGTCCCTGCCAGGTCCCACAGGCTGCAGCCGACACCTTCTCCTCCTCCTTCTTCCAGGTCTGGGTCCCAATTCTTCTTCCACTCCAGCACATGAAGTTGGCAGGAGGACCTCAGTGCTCTTCTCCAAGAAGAACCCTAAAACTGCAGGTCCCCCAAAACGCCCAGGCCGCCCCCCGAAGAACCGAGACAGCCAGATCACTCCTGGGCACGGGAACAGCCCCATCGGGCCCCCCCAGCTCCCCAGCTGCAGAAGAAGCGAGGGCGAAGCCCACGGCCCAGCTCCAGCTCGGACAGTGACAGCGACAAGTCCACTGAGGATGCTCCCATGGGTGGGTGCAGCAGGTCCCCCCGTGCAGCCGGGTGGCCACGTGTGATGGGGTCCTTCAGGGTTCTAACACCCTCTGGTGTGGTGCTTTGCAGATCTGCCAGCCAACGGTTTCAGCAGCGGGAACCAGCCGGTGAAGAAGAGCTTCCTGGTCTACCGCAACGACTGCAACCTGCCCCGGAGCAGCTCCGACTCCGAGTCCAGCAGCAGCAGCAGCAGCAGCGCTGCCTCGGACCGCACCAGGTACCAGCCTCGGTGGGGGCTGCCTGGGGTGGCAGTGGGTGGCTCTCAGCCTTGAGCTGCTGGATGAGGAGCCCGTTCGGTGGTCCCTGTCTCATTCACCCTCCTGCAGCCCTGCTGCTGTTAGCTGAACCCTAGCAAGCTGTGGGGTTGGTGCCTTTTTATAGTGTAAAACCTAAAGGTGAGTGTGCAGCAAAGGGCTGGTAGGGAGCGTGAACCAGGAATTCCCTCTTGACACTGGCACTTCCAGCAGCCGGCTCCCACAGGTTGCTATCTGCCTGTGCCTCCAGTTCAGATCTGTGCGTGTCTTCTGGGTCCTCACGGGTGAAACTGGGTGAGGGTCTGGCTGAAGCACCAGAAAACTCTGTGAAATTGGGTGAGCCCCAGCGGACGCACCATTCTTGCCAGGTCCATCCCACTGCCAAGGCCAGGGTTTGGAGCCCATGAGCCCTGGTGTCCCACCAGCCTTGGAAGCCGTTTCTGGAAGCTTTTCCACAGCTCATACTGACAGCTCTGCTCCCTCTCTCGCAGCACAACACCCTCCAAGCAGGGCCGAGGGAAACCCTCCTTCTCCCGAGTGAACTTCCCAGAGGACAGCAGCGAGGACACGTCGGGGACGGAGAACGAGTCCTACTCCGTGGGCACGGGGCGAAGCGTGGGGCATGGCAGTAAGAGGAG